GATTACCACTGATCTTGTGACGGATTTACCTGAATCACATGGACATACAGCTGTTGCAGTATTTGTGGATCGACTCACCAAGTTTGTCATCTTTGTTCCTTGCTGGAAAGAGTTGAATGCAGTGGGGTACGCGAGGCTGTTTTTCGACAATGTCTTCAAGATTTCTGGTCTACCTCGTGCTATCATCAGTGATAGGGACCCCAGATTTTTGAGTAAGTTCTGGCAGGAGCTTTTCCGACTTCTTGGCACCAAATTGCGCATGTCCACCGCGTACCATCCGGAGACAGATGGTCAGTCCGAGGTCTCCATACGCACGTTGGAGAATTTCTTGAGGCCATACGTTGAAGAGCATCCAGAGGAGTGGAGCACATACCTTCCTTTGGCAGAATTTGCAGTGAGGAATGCTATCAACGTAGCGACCGGATACAGCCCGTTTTATTTGATGTATGGGCAGCATGTACAGGCTGCAGTGGGACTCATGGCTGAGAAGACAGTTGACACCAGGGTAGAGTCAGTGGATGCTATGGTCAGTCGGATGCAGAAGGTGGTGTCCAGTGCTGTGAAGCATTATGAGAGGGCACAGGAGAGGATGGTTACAACTGCCAACAAGCGTCGTCGTGATGTGCAGTTTCAGCCTGGAGATGAAGTTGTGGTGAGAACAACATTTTTGCCCTCCACAGCTTTCAAGCATATTCCAGTGAAGATCAGGCGTCGTTACATTGGACCTTTTCAGGTGGTGAAGGCAGTTTCCCCAGTTGCATACACTCTCCAGCTACCATCCAACTGGCGCATTCATCCGACCTTCCACGTCGAGAAGCTAAAGAAGTATGAGCGTAGTGAGACATTTCAGCACACCGTCAGTTCACCTCCAGAGTCACTAGAGGTAGAGGGCGAGCAAGAGTTTGAGGTTGAGGCGATCATCAGACATCGTGGCAGCGCTTCCAGAAGACAGTACTTGGTAGCCTGGAAAGGCTATGAGCTTCATGAAGCAACCTGGGAGCCAGAGGCCAACCTCACACATTGTTCGGACCTCGTTGCAGAATACCTCCTCAGGCTACAACGACAAGAGGCAATCAAGAAGACCAGACAAAGTCGCCGAAAGAAGTGATGGATTGCGTGGACATATGGATAGCAGGGGTTCATTGTGAGTTGGATTGTGGTATGGGACACGGCTAGTCTGACTTATTGTGGATTTCTGTTCGGTACGCCGTATCTTCTTTCTTGCTGGTTTTCTGGGTCGTTGGTCTCGTGGCCGAGGACGGCCACACTTGGTGGGGGGGGGAGAATTGATACGGTTGCTCTTGTAGATGAATTAGATGTATTTGATTACCCTAAATAGGTCTGTGTTGGGTAAACTGGCCCTGGGGTGGTTACAAAGGACATGGGACAATGAACGGAGCAATTAAAGACAATCTTGTATAATGTACAAATGTAGTAACCGCCCGGGGATTCCGACTCCCCGTTTCATCCGACCTGTGTGCCCGCGGGAGCAACGAAGCTCCCTGCATCATCGCCGCCTACTGGGATGCGAACCCGGCCCCGACCCTCTCGCCCTACCTGGACGACTTTGCGGGGGGCCTTCGGGGCCGCTCGGCGACGCGGACATGGGGGATGCATGTGCGCCGCCTCCTTGCGGCCCTGGGCCTGACGATCAAGCCGTCCAAGTGCACATGGGAGCCGACCCAGGTGCTGCCTCACCTCGGGGTCATCCTGGACACCAAGGCGGGGCTGATCATTGCCCCTCCCGCCAAGGTTGCGGCCATCCGCGCGGAGGCGTCCGCCCTCTTGGCTCGCCACCGGCACCCGATCCCGGCCAGGGTGATCGCCCGTTTCTGTGGCCGGGGTCAGAGCCTATCGCTCCCGGTGCCCTCCGCCCGGTTCTTTCTCCGGAGCCTTTACAACGATTTGGCGACGAAGACCAGCTGGCGGGGGACTCTCCGCCTTTGTCACCAGTCGCTGCGGGACCTGGCGTTCTGGGCCCGTTTGGGTCCCAGGACGTCCATGTCGGTCCTATGGCACCCGCCGGCGACGGCGACTCTACATACGGACAGCTCCCCATACGGTTGGGGAGCTTCGCTGGTCCTACCCTCTCAGGGCCCGACCCCTGTTCTGGCGAGGGGTTTCTGGCCCCTGCCCGACCGCGCCTTACACATAAACGTGCTCAAGATGCGGGCGGTGGGCCTGGCACTGCAATCGTTCCGCCAGCGGCTTCTGGGCCGGCGGATCAATCTCTACACGGACTCCATGGTCGTCAAGTGCATCCTCGACGCAGGGACCTCCCGCTCGACGCCCCTCATGGACTCCCTTCGGCGGGTCCATTACCTCGCATCGGCCCTCCGTCTATCGCTCAACCCGGTCTGGCTACCCACCGAGTCCAACCTGCTGGCGGATGCCTTGAGCCGGACGCGGGACACGGAGGATTGGGCCCTCCATCCGCGCGCCTTTCAGGCGCTCTACCGAACCTGGGGCCCCTTCACCATCGACCGCTTCGCGACGACCACAAACTGCCTGGTGCCTACGTTCAACAGCCGCTAGTGGTGCCCGATGACGAGCGGGATCGACGCCTTCGCCCAGACCAACTGGGGGCTGCACAACAACTGGTGCAACCCCCCGTTCTCCCAACTCCATCGCCTGGTGAGCCTTCTGGAGTCCCTACCCCGGGTGCGCGCCACCGTGCTGGCCCCGATATGGCCTGCCGCGCCATGGTTCCGGCGTCTTCTCCTGCTCTCCAACGCGACCTAGGAGCTTCCGGTGTCGCCCGATCTCTTCACTGCGGGGCGGACGGGCACCTCCTTGGGCCCCCCCCGGTGGCGGGTCCTGGCAGTTCGCATCGATCGCTGCGATTCTCCCCGCCGGGCCTCGCCCTTCCCTTGCCGCCCTGCTCGGACTTGACGGTCTCCATTCTCCGCGGGCTGTTTTCCATTACCGATTTCTCGCTGGAGCTTCCGCGGCTCTGCATCAAGGAGCGGCTGGCCATCATGCAGTCGATGGTGGAGGCCAACGCCCCATCGGGCCGCGAGGCTATTTGGCGCAAGTTTCAGAAATTCGCCCGCATGTGCACCGCCCGCGGCTGGCGGGCCCTCCCGACCTCGCCCGAGATGCTCTATGCCTTCGTGCTCTTTTTAAAGGCCGAGGGCCGGGTATCCGTGGACTCGGCCGGGAGCTACCTTTCCGCCATCTCCACGGTCAGTGCGTGGGCGGGCCTGGGGGGCGGGTCCGCTCATGACGCCGTTACTGCCCACCTCTTGCGAGCCTGGCACGTCAACGCCCCTCCGGCGGCCTACCGCGACTCCGTCCTCGCCTTTCCGGCGGAGGACCTCTTCCGCTTGGCTGCCCTCACCCTGGCCGAGCCCAATCCTTATCGGGTTCGGCCCTTCGTGTCCCTCATCCTGGACACGGTTTTCTTTTCGCGGGCGGACTCCGGCTTCCATATTCTGATGGACGACATCTGGCTCGGCAACCCCGCGGGCGACTCTACGGCGTCCTGCCCCACGCATCTGTTCTTTCGGGAGCGGCGCCACCAGTCGAAGTCTACTCGGGCCCTTCTCTGGCGCATCCGGGCCTTCGACTACCGCGGCTTCCCCGACCTGGCTCGGGTCGTCCGTCATTGGGTCCGCCTGCGCGATGTCTGCCGCGCCCAGCACCTTCCTGGCCGCCGCGGCCACATCGAGTTCTTCTACGGCCTTCCTTCTGATGCACACCCCCCTTCGGCCCGCTCTGTTCAGACCTGGTTCCTCGAGGCCGCCCGCCACCTCACTGCGGCGGGGCAGGCCTACCGCCACCACTGCGTGCGGCGTACGGGGGCGTCCTCCGCCTTTGCCGTACTGGTGCCTGAGGCCCAGGTTTGTAATTGGGGGTGGTGGGCCCCGGGGTCCGCGGCTTTGTGGAAGTACGTGGATTTGCAGCGGCGGCCTACTGAGTTTGACTACCGCCTTTTTGGCTGGATGCTTGTCGCCGCTGACTCCCTTCGTGACGAGATTCGTGACATCTTCTCCGCGCCGTCTCCTCCTCCTGTCCCGTCGCCTTGATGGGGGCCTCTTCGTTCCCCCATCCTTTCCGGCCCTGTACTTTGCTCGCGCTTGCCGCCAGGGCCGTATTGTTTGGAGATGGGCACTCTTTGGCTTGCGGGTGACATACCCGGGTTCTTGAACTGCATGGACAAGTTGTATTGGTGGGTTGGTGACGGATAGGTGTTTGTTGGAGTTGGATCAGGTGGACATTTTGTCACGGTTTGTGACGTTTTTCTGAATATGTAATTATAATTACATGTTCAGCCTGCCATTGGGCGGGAAGATCGCAGGGCTGTACCGTAAATAGCACTACCCCGGGTTTTAACCAATTCAATAATATGAAGCCAATCGCATCGACAACTGCGCCGTCTTGCTGCCCTGCAGGACTGGTGCTGATTTACATAACGCATTTGGCAAAGTACGTCGAGGAGGCGTTTGCCCTGGATCGAATCAAGGGCAGGCGGCGTTGTGTAGCCATGGCTGCACACAGATGAGCAAGGAAATCGTGCAACTGCAGAACAAGCTCTGCATGCAGTTTGTTGTTTGTATCTTTGGTTGATACACTGATTCGCCAACGTGCGATGTATGGCTTGACTCTGTGCAGCTTCACAAAGAAATTCAACGTCAGTTCGGGTCAGATGCTGAATGTGGGCAACCCTTTGCCACTATTTGTTGCATTGTCAGCTCTCCTCCCGCTGTGTCAAGGCAGCAGTCAGTCTTCATTTCTGCAGCATTCCCCCATGACGGCAAAGGGACAACTGCGGATCCAAGAAGAGGGCCTTGTTGGCCTCTTCATGATCTGCCATCCAAAGGATCAAGCAGCAAACGTTGTCGCTGCGCCACACAGCACTCTGCTGCCGCCGTTATATACCTCTCTAATTCTGCACTTTCGCTTTTGCTGTAAAATAGGCAGACGATCTTTGTACCTCATTTGCATGACTAACTTTAAAGAGAACTTCCGGGCGGCGATCAGATTGACATTGAATGGTTTCAGGTACACGTCCAGTCTTTCACTATCCAGTGTGAACGGGTTGGTGACATTGAGTCGCTGCTCCAGATCAGTTTATGGTCGAGATCAGACAGTTTCAGCTCCAGCTTTATTTGCCTCTTTTCCTGGTTGCAAAACTTAGGCTGACCTGATGCCCAGAGGGCGTTACCCAACAGCCCAAACCCCAGAATCTGTGACAAACGGACTGTACTCAGAACCAACGGTTGGAAAGAAAGGCGATCAGGAAGCTCACAATACCCCCACAAGTGTGCAAAACCAATATTGAACTTAACATTTAACAAAAAGACTGCACGTTGAGCACAGCTGTGTACACCACAAAATATGTCCATTTGCCAAGAAGAGACCAAGTCGGGTCAACACACTGGGCCCAGGTATGGGAACTGTTATCAATGTCACAAAGGCACAGCTGGGCTCTTGCGACTCATAATGGCAGAACTCCATCATCTCTGCCCTCCAAGTTGGGGGCTGTGGTTCGGGGATCAACCCTATACTATCCAACTCCTGGACCCACTGCCACTCTCGACCCCCCTCTTCTCTCGCCCTTCAGTCTTCTTTGTATTTTGCAACAGCTTCAGCTTCCCTCCGGGCAGCTGTGTACGCCAGCAGGCCTCCGAAAATGGATAGATTCTGCAGCACGATTCAGGCAGCTAGTGGTTACATCGGTTGCTTGTCACCCCACAGAGACCTTGCACCAAGCATGGCAACAAAGATCCACGTTACTACCATTATGGAGTTCGTTCACATTCAGCCATTTGTTCTCCCTCCTGAGGCATTTGGATTGGCCATCGGAGAACTGATGTGATGCCCAGAAGCAAGTGGCCACTGGCCCTTGGTACATAGTGCTATGCACCATCTTTGTACTGCCCCATACACGCAGATCCCTAATTAAAGTTGGTGGACAAAATGCAGGCCACAAAGGTGAATTAAGCACAGGAACACGTTTGATGGTCTGGTGTTCCAGACCATGCTCATTGGGCAGTAGGCACCAGGCATCTGCCAGGAGTGTTAAGAGCTTGGGAGGCAGGCAAGGTTGCCAGACAATATCTGCCTTCTGTACACTTGTCAAAACAAAACAAGGCAGGTGCCTTTCACAAATCGAGCGATGTAGGAATGTTGTCAGAGGGCAGAAACAAGCGACGCAATATGGACCTGCTACAGATATGTGCTGGATGTTCCATTCCACCTTCAACATTAGCCTGGAGTTGGCCAATGCAGGAGTCCCCTTGGTCACACAGGTGGTTCAGAAGTGGGAAATGCTCCAGAGGTAAAAATACATAGCAAGGGTGAGCACAGGATCCGATCTCGGGGGCAAGCCTCTATCACTGCGACCCACCTTCATGAAGTTTATCATCTCTGAGATCTGTGTGCTATCTTGGACGTCCCAGAAGTTGTGCATGACAGGCGTGGCGCCAATCAAGAACACCATCTGCCTCAAATCCACACAGCTTCTCAAGTGGATGCTATTGGCCCCAATCAACAGGGGATGCGAACTTGAGCTCAATGGATTTGTGTATGGATACCTGGAGGTTTGCTTGCACAGGCCGGAAGCACAGCACTTTCTAGTTTTGATACTGCCTATCGCATTCTGATCACAGTAACAACAACACAGGCTGAGAGCTGTATTGCACGCTTCCATCTTCGTTGTGAGCAATAATTATCCACCGTTTAGGCCATTCTGCCCATTGTCAGAAGATTTCACTGGGGCGGGTCCAAGCACGACGTCGGATCCACGGAACGCCTAGCCACCTCGTCGGCAGTTCATTTCATTGCGTTCGCCCCCAATGCACAAAAGCTGTGAACGCGCCAAGCCCCCGCGTGTGCAGCGCCCCACAGAAGCTCCTCCACTCCACACGCAAGCAAATTCGCCCCCCTTTGCAGCGGATCAACGGCCCCTCCAGGCTCCCAAATCCACCCGAAGGAAATTCAAAACCAACGGCCGCCCTCGCCCCGCCCGACGCCCCGCGATCATCCCAAAGAACCCCTCGGAGCCTCAATCCCGCGAGCGCACCATCACAACTCGCCCCTTTCCGCCGGAGCGGCCCAGCGCACCGGCCGGCGCCGCGCGGACGCCTTTGGGCGCGGCCCTCGGGCGGCCGGCCTTAACCCACCAGCATGAGCGCCCCCACCGACGAGTCCGCCACAAACAGGACGCTGCCCACCACCTCGAGGAACGCCGACGCCAGGATGATGTAAGGGTACTGCTCCTGGGTGAGGCGGCCAAAACGGGACGAAAAAAGTCGTCGTCAGCGCACCCCCCCACACAGCCACCCCCTTGGGCCAACCCTCCCCCCCTTCCCGGCCAAGAAACTCTGTGAGGAAGGAACTCCGCCTGGAAGACATGGTACAAAGAAAGGTGATGCGGAAACCTCCAGCAGCAATTGGGAACAGCCAAGGGCGGGGGGTGGGGTGGGGAAAGAGATCTCGCCTTGGTCGGCTGTTGGGTCGCCGTCGATCGGGCAAGTCCCCAGACGCACCTTCTGAAGGGGAAATTGGATCCCGGTCCTCTCCGCGAAGGCCTCCCGGAAGGCGTCCATCTTGGGCGCCATGTACTTTCCCGACGGCCCGCCCGTCTCGGCGTCGAAGTTCGAGAACTTGTCCAAGCCGGACGTGATGAAGATCAGCGCCAGCAACAGGCGGCCGAAGAAAGAGACAAACTTGGCCATGGCAGCCGCGGGCGCTCGCTGGGGCGCTGCAGAGAGGGCTGTTCGTGGGCGGCGGGGAGAGCTGTGTGCGCGGCGGGAAGCGGCTGCCCCGATTTGGCGGGTTGGTGGCGAGGCGGATTGCCAAGTTTTCCCGCGGAAAGAGCAGGAGTCGGCTTTGCTGGTCTTTCTGGGCCCGCCCACACATGTTTGTCCACGTGACAAGGCTCTTGCACAATGCACTCGATGGGTGTCAGGGAAAACGCCGTGTCGATTTTGGTACGCTCAGCGTCAGTTTGACGGCAAGACCATTAACCCCCACACCCCCACCTCACCTCGGCGTCACTCCTGATGTTGATGCGAAGATGACTCAGCAACATTACAAAATGGCGTGATACAACTTCCATGATGTTTTTGGAGGCAGACAATTGCCAGATTGGCAGCGATTGTACAGGGATTGTACAAAAATGGGATTCTAAAAGGCATGGCAAGCGTTGGGGGCAGACCCGAAGGCAGTCAGTTGAGATAGCATGGGACGTTGCTGAAACATTGAACGGTTGAGAGCGGCTTTTGAGCAAGCCATTGGCTTGCCACTGATCAGTGGCGTTTGGGGCAAGTCCACAATTTATGTCGATTTTGTAGCAATGACATGCTTCAGAAGTAAAATCTCTTAGTGTCACAGGTCTGGACTCCCCCCCCTAAGCCCCACCCCTTTCGCGTCAAATTGACGGCAAGCGTACCAAATGCGACATAGTGCCTGCCCTCAACATGAAGGCTGTTGGTTCTTTGACGCCCATCCCCGACAGCATATTCCTGCAGCTGCGAAAATGCAACAGGAACGCCTGTTGCTGGCGGCTGTTGCTTGAAAAATTGCTCAGCTCTTCCTTGATTCAACTGCTGAACTGGTGGCTTTTGGATGGTCGCGCCGCGATGGCTTCGGTTTGACTTAAAAAGGTAACTTTCATTAATACGGTTCTTTCAGGCTAAACGCTTCGCCCCGTAAAAGCATTCCAAACGAAGTTTTGTGAGATTTCCAACTGTACCCAGGCAGTCAGCGACCAGCCTCCTTGCCATGAGATGTAACGTTTCTCAATTGCAGAAATGTAACGGTGTCCCCGCTCTCTGAATGTGAGCAAATCAATAGCGCGGCCAAAAGAAGAAGGCTGCCGTGGTGCGCCCCATCAATCGTGGTGAGTCGATTGAATAAAATGAGGGATAAGACTGCGATACAAGGCAGATCGGCATCCGCAAACGTCAGCAACGATGTAAATCGTAGAAGAGCCGCAACCTGATATGGAGAAAAAAACTGCAAAGGGGCAGGCAAGCAACAGCGTCATCGTGGCGCATGCATAATTCACGCCCGGCATCATGCCTCCGTGGTAGAGCTGGAAGCTATGTGCTGTGGTGAATGTGCCCCAACCTACGACTAAATCAAAAGAAAAGAAAAGCGACCATGGCAATGACAGAAATACAAAAAAAAGAGAATGGTCGCAACCTCAAAGTGACCACTTGCACCACCGCCAAAGCATCACGGCTCAGGCTCGAAATTTCTTGATTTCAATGCATGTAACCCGATGGGCCTTTAAAACATTTTCTCAACAACCGCACCCGTGATGTCTGTTTTGTAGTTTATTTCCCCATTTTCCCACAACAGCTTGACTTCAACCACTTGATTATTGCGCTGTTTTCGGCCCCAACAATCCCAAGCGCACTGAACAGATCGGTTTCTAACCTGGCGATCCGGCGCCTCCACTCCCCATGCAAACATCGCACACCAGCCAAATTGAGACGGCAACCCGTTCCAACGCTCCTTATCTCCCAACCCAGCCATCCACACATCCCCCAATCCCCCACACTCCTGCCACTGTTGCGCCCGATCTGTGTGTCCATTTTCACATCACGCAGACGGCGCCCCAAAAGGTGTCTTTTCCATGGCCGGGTGCTCATTGCATGATGCGTTTTCCTCGCAGCCGCAACGTTACGTTTGATTAGATCACAGCGCCACAGCTTTTATGAATATACCCCTCAACAAATTGAACGAGTCTCCGATTTCTGTCAGTATGTCGCCCACCGGACGCACCCCGCGTCGGGATCATACAGGAATATCCACGCCACCAGCGCCCCCACGTGCCAGGGCGCCAGCGTCACCACAAAGCCCCGGGGCACCCTTGCCACCCGCGGCCACAGATGGTCGCCCGTGGTGCGCCTCAGCAAGCACGTCCAAAAAGATGACACACTGCCCCGCCATTGCGGCCGCGACAATGACTCCACAATGACATAAGCGCGACTGGGGACGCCGCGGCCCACCAGACCGCGCTCCCTTCGGCTGCATTTGTCGAACCTGACCTCGGGTACGGAAGATAGGAGCCTGGGTCCCCAGGATGCGACTCCGCTTTCGATGTGGCAGCCGTGAAATCCCACCGACTGGAGGTTGGGAATCTGCCATGCCATGGATGGTTTGGACAGTCAGTCTCGTCAATCCCTTATCGATCTAATCGCAGCCAGTCCGTCAATCGACTCAATCGTCAGGAAAACAATGAAACCCAAGCATTGAGACAGACCGCGCAATATGTATAACAGTTGCTGGGAGCGCAACCGATTGGTGCTTGTGGCGCAAATGTGATAATTCTCTTGGTATGCTGTTCGCTTTCCCTCGGGCTAGTTGATGACCGCCGAGCCGTGGGCCAGGTGTAGAGGCATCCAGCGAGTAGGGATACCCGTCTCCATCGTCTTCTTCACCTCATGAACATACTGTGCTAAACGGCTTAGTTGTGACAAGTGCTATGCACCAGTGCTGTGGTGATAGCCACATACTTGAAAAATGAAATTACTGACAAGCGCGTGCGCTGGCATGTGACGTGGTCATGGCATCCGGAAATCTGCTAGGCGCCGATACGACATTGACAGGCCATTGCATCAACACCGCTCTACAGACACGAGCTCCGAAGGTACGCGTTGATCCAAGGGCCTATCAATGATGCATCAAAGGCTGCCAAATTTCTGGATGCATCTCCAGGCTGATAAATGGATCGTTGATGCAGCATTGCTGGAACACTGCTTGCTTGGGAATGTTGTATCAAGATGCCTTGTTGGAGCGCGGACAAACGCCGACGCCAAGAGCCATTGTTTCAAGGGCAGTTCACCAATACTGAGGGCCACTGCTTCAATGACCCCCTTGCATCAACGCTCATCAACATTGCATCACGCCTGCCGAATTTCCAGATGGGTAAAGAGATTTGGCCCCAGTCTGCCACATATACTGATTGGGGACACTGGACTTTCGTATATTACGTCATTGTCATTGCGAGGTTGCTTTCATTGCTCTTATACGATCATACTAGTACAGCGTCATAAAACAATGCAAATTCATACCTTGGCACGAATTTCTATCAATATACTGATGGATACTCAAGCTCTATGTGAAATGCTTTCCTTTCTGTTGTGGGCGGGTGGGTGGTTGGGAGAGAAGCCATTCCAGCAGTTCGCCCACCTTTGACACGAGGTGGATGACGCAATCGTCCACGTGGGCATGCCTGATGACGAGAGTGCGGACGGCAGGGAACATGCGGGGAAGCCTGGAACACTGGGGAGTGGGGAGCGGTGGAAAGGGGTTGATGATGACGCTCCTGGTGGAGGCGTCCACTGCCAGCCTCCAGTGGCGGCTCAGCTGCCGCAGGCACGAGAGGGTGCGTCTATCGAGGGCGGCTGCCAGCGATGCGATGATGTCGACCGTAAGGAATCCCCATTGAGATGCGGCGTCGGACATGAGGATGTGGCGTCATTGCCCAGTAGGCTCAGTACTCCAAGCGACCTGAAGCGCACCATTCCGCGCATTGCCATTTTCCATCGCCTCCCGCTTTCCCATCGTTTGTGTTTTAAAATTTTGCAGCGGTGTACCTTCGTGACAACGTTTCCCCATTCCGGCTATCGCAAATTCAGTGGCCACTAAAAAAAGCTGGCAGAATCGGACAGCCGAAATGTGCAAATTGTGAACGGAAGGGATTCCCAACAGAGCAGCCAGCTGCAGAGCCCAATGCGCGAAGAAGCACTTCCGGACATGTCCTTAAGAAAATTACTGTGCGAAATTCAGCCACGCATCGAGCACTCCTGAACAAACCCGAAGCCAACGCACCCGTGCGCGACCTCACAGCTCCAACAACATCGCAGCTTCCACAGAGGGATTCCCTATTGCCGTCGTGGGCCTCCCACCATGTCGCCGAAATCGTGCGTTACGCCGCCCCCCATGGCCGCCCATTCCTCGGCAGCGCGCCGCGGCCAGTCGCCAACCTCAACACAGCCCCTCGACGCCCGACCAACGCCTTCGCCCGTCAGCTCTTCCCACTCCCCCACTCCCAAACCCAACTCACCCCCGGGCGCGACCTCGCAACGCAGGGCGCCTGCAGTCCATCCAAGCGCGCTTGTGCTCTAATATTCCGCACGGGACGCTGTTCGCTGTTGACGTAACTCTCAGAGTCAAGTGCCTGGCGCGCGAAGACTGGCCAGACCACAGGACGCACCTGCCGCATCTGTCGCGCCGCAAGCACGCCAATCCACAGCCCCTCCTCCCCTCATTCAACGCAGGAGGTCTTCCGCACGGTGGCGCCTTCCCGGCGACGCCAGCGGCCGGGGCGCTGCCTGCCCGGTCGTTTCGCCCGCCGAACCTGGCCATCGGCGGCCCCAGTGTTTTCGCGCACGTGTGGTGCGTTCGAGGTCCAACCGTTCTGGCGCACACGTGCATGTACGAGACCGAGCAACTGCCGCCTCGTACGGGCCGGCGGGGTGAGTCATAGCGGGAGCACCGGAGCTGGCGCTGTCTTGCGGTGTTTGGTCGTCTCCGCTGTGCTGTGGGGCTTGATTTATGGATTCGCGGTGCTGTTGTGCTGGCACTTGGACGACCGGGGACATTCGCGCCGGCTGCGTCCAATTGGGTGCATGGATTGCAACGCATGCAGTACTGTCTCTTGCTGGGGCAACTGAGGACGACTGATAGGAATCAGAGCTGAATATTTTTGTCCAGCCGCAAGATTTTTCTCCCGAGTGCAAGTGGTGATCACCAAGCGCCGCTCATACTTAAAGTCTGTACAGGCCAATGCTCCTGAACAAGTTTCCCCCGCTATTCCCCAGAAACTTTCAACCAAGATTCATCCTGCCAGTAAATAGAATTCTTTGATGACTGGAAAATACTAGTCCAGGGATTCCAACGCATCCAACCCATGCGTGAAGATTTTGGAATGCCGTGGCGGTTCACCTCCAGTGTCGGCCATCGTTGGCACTGTCGATCGAGGAGCCATGATGCACCCTTTGTGTCCAGTGCTTGGCCGGCATAATTTGCACGTTGGCCTTGCATCTTTTCGCTCAAGGGTGACATGCAAGAATGGCCCTGAGCATGCAATCTTCTTTGGAGTATATACACAATTGTGACACCGCCATCGCCCCACGTGAGCAAGGGCAATAATTGCTCTGCTTTGGCATGTGTGCTCAGACGGATGTTCACCGTCGTCGGCAGGGTGACTTACAGCTGGTGAGCACATAGTAACTGGGCATTGCCCCAAGGCACCCCCTACGCCATGCGGCTTCCGTGTTTCTTCCATTCAATGCACCCAAGCCCTCTATGATGTCTTTGCCAGGTGTTTGGCCTCAGTGCATCCATCAGCTTGGAAGGCCAGGAAGGTCGAAAGCAAGGCAGGCCCAGAAGAAATGGGATGATCACCAGCAATCATCGATGAAATATGCAAGATGTAAAGAGTGCTTGCATAATTGCCGTTGTCATCAAATTTGGGGATGTCGTTGGCGGGACCACAGACGCCTCCCTTAAAGCGTCAAATTCAGCGTGTCCAAAAGTGACTCTGTGGGAAATTTCATGTGGGCGTCAAGCAACTGCGGGAATATTGATTATCCAGGAATTGACTATCAATGCCGGTGGTCACGAGTTCTTAACATCTCCAGCTAAAGCCATTTTCGGATCATCATCATGATTTTTTACAGAACAGGGCAATTTTTCGGATCGCAACTCCCTCTTGAGCAGATCGGGGCCAACAAATTGGCATTCATCGCCCGCCCCCATTCCCGCCAGACATCGCATCCCAGCAACGCATTGAGCCCACGCCTTCGCCAGTCGCATGCCGTTGCCGCTAGCGAGTCACCAGCGGTGACTCAGCAAGCGCAGAGCGACGCGTGCAAGGCCCCTCGACCACACCCCCCAAACCGCCCACCCAGTCATCCCTCAACGTCACCAGCCCCCGCTCGACACTTCCGATGCGCCCCCCACCCACCCACCCACCCTCCACCGCCACTGCGACAGGCCAAAGCGCCCACCCCACCCCCGGCTGGACGCCTCCAACGGCCCGTCGCATCGCATCCCAATCCCGTCCCCTCCCGGCGCCAATTCCCCCTCGGATCGCGCCGCGGGGCCATGTCCGGCGACGTGCCCTCGCCGAGCACCGCCGAGGCCGAGCGGCTGGTCGCCCGGCTGCGCGCTAGGGCCAAGCACCTCCTGGGCCGCCACAAGTTCCGGGAGGCCGTGGCGCTGCTCAGCGAGGCCATCCGCCTGTCCCCCGAATCCTACAAGCTCTGCAGGCTGCGGGGGGTCGCCCACGCTTGCCTGCACGAGTACGACGCCGCCCTGGCGGACGCGGAGGCCGTCGTGCGACTCAAGCCGGGGTCCGCCGACGGGCACTACCAGAAGGGCTTCGCGCTGTACCACACGGGGGAGTTCGCGGCGGCGGCCCACGCGTTCAGGGACGCTCTGGCCATCTGCCCCAGGGACCGCATCATGAGGCAGGCGTTCTGGGACGCGATGGCGCTGCTGTCGCAGAACAGGAGCGGCGCGGGGGGGCTGGGCGGGGGGCGGCGGGCGGCGGGGGAGGCGGTGGCGCCGGAGTGGGAGGACTGAGCGGGCCGCGGGGCGGCGCGGTGTGTTACGGGTACGGTGTGGGTGGTCACACCATGGGTGAGACTTGTTGCGAAGAGTGGGTCTCACTCTTCTTTCAGAAGTCTCTCAGAAGTCTCCCAGTCCCACTCTTGTCACTTTTCCTCTCAGAGGAAAGGTCATGCCGAGGGAACCACGCCTCCTGAGCAGGTGTCTCACTGAGGGTGGGATTTGTTGCGAAGATGAAGGGAAAATCGGTCATGCGGAAAGAGCCCCCCTTGAGCAAGTGTTGGCGAGAGTCATACTGAGAATGAGAATGAGAATTGTTGCCAAGAGAAAGAGAAACAGGGCATGCAAAGGACAACCCCTCCTGAGCAAGTGTCGGCGGGAGTCACATTGAGTTTGAGATTTGTTGCGAAGAGAAAGAGAAAATTGGTCATGCAAAGGGCACCCCGTCATGAGCATGTGCAGGCGAGAGTCGTACTGACGGTGGGTGACCCTGAGAAACGGCAGGGGACGTCACCGTGTCGCGGCGCATCATTGAGGTCGTGAAGTGTTGGGGAACGGCAGTGTGAATGGGGGATGTGTGCAGGGAAGCGCCGTGCGTGCCTTGGAGTCGCGTTTTATCACGGCCGCGTACAAGGAACAATTTGAGTTGGGGAGGGTCTGAGGATCCCGTGAGTGAAGCGCTCAAAGCTTCTACTTCGAAGTAGTTTAATAAACGACAAAGCATCTTTGCCTGGATTGTTCCCTGTGCTGTTTTGGCCATCGACGCGAGTCAACGACAGACCAATATCATGTTTTTTCTTTCGATCCAATCCAACACGAGGAAGAACATCCTGAAGTCCAATCAAGGGTTTGGTGGGAACTACTCTGCCGGGACCACCTCTGGGCGAAAGGGCTGATGCGAAACGCGTCGACGAGCTTGGACAAGACGTTACGTCCGTTGTGGTCATCGTGGTAACGATGGTGGTCATCGTGGACTGGACTGGGCTGTTCCAGCTTCACTGCTCTATGCTGATTCGATCCACGGAAGGGCGCGGGGCCAGTCGTCTCAATGGACCAATCGGCTCTGCTGCTCTTGGGTCTGTGTGCTCACGGAGGGCAGTGATGATATAACACTCACCGAAATTGGGGTCCTTTTTCATCGCCACATCGTGTTTCCCTGGGATTTCTTTACCAGTAGTGCATATCTAACAAGGCTCAAAACCAGCAAAGCACACCTCCACCTGCGAATTTCCTCGAAGAAGCGCTGTCAACGCACAATTCAATTCAGGCAGCAGCCGGGAGACAGTGCAGGAAGAAGACCAGTGCAGGAAGAAGGCCAGTGCACAGAAAAAACGAACCGCGAACCTGAATGCCAAGCGCTTCTGCACGAAGCAATGCACACTCTGCTGCCTCCCTGCACCTCTCCGCTGTTCCTTGGTGTTTGCACGTGGTGCACATCCGCATGGGGCCAGCGGTTGTTCGAATTCCTGGTGGGACAGCCGTGAGCTCCAGATACGCACAGCAGCTGACAGCACTCGAGCATTTTCAGGAACCGATACGAGGGGGTTCGATTACAAGTCTTCCTCTCGAACCGCACCCAGCAAGCAGCTCAACAGCTGCATCCAGTGGAAAACGTGCCAGTCCCTGGACGCACATTGAAGTCGATAACAGTGACAGACAAAACGGAACCAAAAGAATGTCAGTTGAGAAGCCCTGAAAGTCGCGGGCCCCCAAACGGCTCCCATCGCAGTGCTGCACTGACACCGCCCTGAGCACAACGTCCCAGTCACTACCAAGATCGGAGGCAGCAGTTCTGTTCGGAATCAAGCCCAAGCCGCTGAAGATCCCAATGCCATCGATGGGTACCACGTTCTTCGCCGATCCTCCACCCAAATGCACTGGAAGTCTGCAAGCTAAGAATTCATTGCAAGTCTTGTGAGAGGGGCAGGTCTGATGCTCCACACTCTGGACAGTGCGTGTCTGGAACGGGCTGCTTCCCATCCACAAGCATCAATACCCAACATTACCAACCGCAATTTGACACCACCTGATCTGGGCCCTTCCCCCACCCCACTAAAGCCAAAGCCCCCTTACCCAAAGCTAAAGAAGTTCTAAATCTACACAATGGCAACCGCCCAATTCCTTCCCCAAGCCAACCCTCCATTGTGTCGCAGATCATACAATGCAGGTCGCATGACTCTGTCCAAAAATGCCACCAAACCCCGCCCCTGGGCTGCAAGCTGTTCAATGTCTGTCCTTATCATCATGTTTCGCCCTAGTGCGCATTCTGTGCCTAGATGAACTGATTCTTGCGAATGACATCCAGCACATCCCCCAGATTCTCCTTCACAGGCGTGGGCGGGTTGGCGAAGGTGCACGAGATGTGGGTCGCCTCCTTAGAGTGGTATGCGACCTTGGACTGTGCAAACTTCAGGCCGTGGGCGGTGCTAACAACTACAGTCCTGTCCTGCGGCCCTATGACCTGCCGCTCCCTGAGCTTCTTCAGAGCCGCAAGAGCAACACCAGTGTGCGGGCAGTTAAACATCCCAGTCCTGTCTGCCTGTGCTGCGGCGTCCATCAGCTCCTCCTCTGTGGCTTCCTCCACGATCCCATCAGTGGCCTTGAGGGCCACGATGGCGCGGTCGATGGACACGGGGTCGCCGATCTGGATGGCCGAGGCGAAAGTCTGCTTGGCCTTCACTGGCTTGAAGCTGTCGAAGCCGTGCAGGTAGGCCTGGTACAGCGGGTTTGCATTCGCTGCCTGCGCGCACACCAGCCGCGGCATACTGTCCACCAGGCCCAGGTCTTTGCACATCTTGAAGCCCTTGTAGAAGGCGTAGATGTTCCCCAGGTTGCCACCAGGGATTATGACCCAGTCAGGTACCTGCATATCAGTTGGACTGTGTTACCTGTCAATGAAACGCCATTCAGATGTTCTTCAATACAGCTGGCAATTGGTCTGTGAGGTTCCTCCAGGACATCAGGGAACAAACAATGTGGATGCACAAGTGGCGATCAAGCACCAATCAATTTGAAAGTTCACAAGCAATGTTCAGCACATTGTGGCAAACGGAGGAAAAGCACAACATCGCCACACTGTGGGGTCACAAACTGCATACTGGACAATCATTTTCAACGCCTTGTAGATGGGTTGACTTGTCAACACCAGAAATCGCAGTCAGAGGCATTGTGCACCTGCCAATCGAACTGCTGTATGATCTCAATTGCTGCCGTCTTCTGGCCCTCCAGCCTCAGGCTGTTCATCGAGTTGGCCAAGTAGATGGGATACTCTGCTGTGACCTCCTGGATGAGGCGCATGCAGCCATCGAAATCAGTGTCGATGCTCAGCACCAGGGCGCCATTGGCGATGGGCTGGACCAGTTGGGCTATGGATATCTTGTCCGCAGGCAAGAAGACAATGGATGGGATTCCGGCTGCTGCGCAGTAGGCTGACAAGGCGGCTGATGTGTCCCCAGTAGAGGCGCACCCAACAGCTGATATGTCCTTTGGGTTCTTGTTCCTGACAAAGTACCACCAGGGTCAAGGACAGGTAATGTATGTGCACCGCGTCAAAGGACTTTCCAGTAGGAAGAATCTTTCTATAACTTGTAAGAGCATCGTTATCGGTGGGTGCTATTGTCCCGGCGAAGCTATTCGGCTATCCGAATAGCACCGCACGTCAAAAAACCATCACTAACGGCTGGGGAGCAATACCACCCCAACAGCACCCCCGGAGCTATTTAGGCCGAGCGGCGCTATTTTGGCCCCGAATAGCACCGCTCGGGGCCGAATAGCACCCCAGAATATCTCCATTGCTATTCGCGCAGAACATTGTAGTGCTGCCGTGATGCTATTTGGCGTAGGCATAGCACCCGCCATTGCGGATGCGTGCAGGGGAACAATAGCTCCAGTGCTATTCGGCAAATGGCGCCTTAGTAAGGTGGCACGGCAGCCAATGAGAACTGTTCCTGGATAGTTCTGCCAGTGCAATAGCA